AACAATACTTTTAAAGTATTTCTTTTCATTTTGTCATTCAGTGTGGGTGTTTTTATTATTATTCTTAAACATTACAAATACTTTACACTGAGGGAAGTCCAAGTCTAGCACTACTAGAAAATGAATCTACTGATCAGTGAATAAACTTGGCTGCGCATGTGTACACATACAGTGCTCCTCTTTCTCATCGCTTCCATCTCCACAATACTTTTAAAGTATTTCTTTTCATTTTGTCATTCAGTGTGGGTGTTTTTATTATTATTCTTAAACATTACAAATACTTTACACTGAGGGAAGTCCAAGTCTAGCACTACTAGAAAATGAATCTACTGATCAGTGAATAAACTTGGCTGCGCATGTGTACACATACAGTGCTCCTCTTTCTCATCGCTTCCATCTCCACAATCATCCTCCTGGTTGCACAGCTCATGATTGTAGATACAGCGATTATTTTCACACCGGAAACGGAATGGTGGTTCACAGGGAATATCCACTGAAATTAAACAGATCAAATAAGCAATTATGATTCAAACATTTATTGAATATAACCCATCAAACCAACACATTGCTTTTGTTGGCTACCTAATGCCTCTATTTTAAAAAGCATTAGTCTTCCAGGACAAAAGTAAACATATTCTTTAGTCAGCATTAAATTGGGTTTTTTTTAGAGAGAAACTAAAATCTGTATTTATGACATAGAAATTATCAGCTTTCTTGAAAAAGGTAGCCTGTACCCCAGACAGCAAGCATTCACTACTATGTACCATGATAATCTGCATTCTGTATCTTTCTAGACAACAGCAAAAACCGTTTATATAACAGCTCATCCAATTTATAAATGCAGTTATCACCTATCACCTAACTGCGGCTGCCTAAGCTGTATATAATGTGTTTCTCATAGGTTTTAATCAAAATTTCTGAATTTGAGTCCCTAAAGTTAGGACCCATAATCCACATTTAAGGACACATCCTGACTCTAATGAGAGGTGAGGATGCTCAGCACCACTGAAAATCAAACCTTTATATCTCTAAATTTCAGTTAAGGGTCCTAATTTTAGACACCTATTTTGAAAATGTTGACTGTTATTCACATTTCTAATTGCCCCACATCATTTGACTTCTCCCCTCTTTTACAGCTGAACAGTTAGATGCCGGAAAAACAATGGATGAGTTACAAAATCACAAGAGAGTATGGAGTAAATTTAAAGATGCTTCATTTGAAACATTTTCTCTGTGGTTATTTTTACCAAAACCTATGAAAATCTCCAGTCAGGAGAACATATTTATGATTTAGCTCTTACTTCTGTACCACTAATAATTGTAATTATTTCATTTTTCTCTCTTACAGCAAAGGTGAAGTTCTTCATCAGAGTTATCTCCACAGTCATTGTCACCATCACATTTCCAGTATGGCTGGATACAGATATGGTTTTTACACTCAAACAACAGAGGTGGACAGTATGTACCATTCGGATAGCGTGTTGCTAATGAAAAAAAATTGAATTTTTAGTACAAAAAAGAACCTCGGTCTGAAATAATATGCAAGTGTTTCATAGGTCATTCTTTTCTTCTGCATCCTCTTCTCTACAGGAGAAGAGAGCTAAAAGATTTTCAGGGATAGAAAACTTCAAGGACTAAGGCCCACTGGCTAGCTATACTGATTAGCCTTTTAGCTTTGTAAAATCTTAATCTAAATTAAAGTCACTGCCATAGGCCTTAGAACAGTAATGAGGTGGTGTGAGTTTTACTGGCATTGTATGCATTTATCACTGGCAATGCATACATATAATTTTACATGTTTCATACAAGCAATCTCAATAAATGGTCAGGGATATAACCAGATAATTAATTATTAATGTATCTGCGTTTATAAAGTGTCCCTCCAATTATATGAATCCTATACAAAAACTGAAAATAACACATCATCAGCTTCTACGGCCCTTCAGTAGCTTTCTAGTAAATCTTCTTTCCCTTTTCCTCTAAATAAAAAACATGGAAAATAGAGGGTGTGCAGCATGCCACACAGTTTGTCTAATTCAGCCTCTGTTGGACCGCATGTGCTGGGAAATAAGCTCCTGTGTATGGGGCCTATCACTGAAAATGTCCTGATTCTTCCCCTTCCCATTTAATTCAGGGTTTTCTAAAGTGCTTGGAAGGATGATCACAACTGTTACGACAGCAACATGAGAAGAAAAGGTACCATGGCTCAAACCATTTGGGTTCTGAAGATGAAAATGAGCACCGATGTATTACATTTCTCCTGAATTATTACTGAAGACATTTGAGTTGTCAATGTTCGAGTGTTCAATACCACTCAGGATTTTATCCGCTGTATTAAGCAGACAATAAAGAGTAAGTTTTCTGTCACATGTAAGTGTGTCTAATGTGCTGTTCCCCCATAATTTCCCACCATATGCTTTAAACTCACGACAGGTCGCTTCATCAGAGAAATCAAGACAGTCTGCACTTCCATCACATCTGAAACGTTCTGCAACACAATGCCCACTGCTACATTGGAAATACCCAGGATGGCATGTCCTCATCTCTAAAAAAAGATTCCAAAATTATCAGTGAAATCTCTTCATGTGAAAAAAAATATCAAGAGGATATTTTTTATGTACACACAGTATAATTAAAACTGGATGTTCACCATGCACACTGTCTAAATGTGCCATAGTAGTTGTGGTATTTCCTGTTCTAAATTCAGGTAAATAAGATCATGCATTAAAAGTTGCTTCACTAATACTGCTTGATGTAAAATATGGTTTTGCAGAATGACTTCACACCTGCACAAGACTTAGTCTGTAATATGATGAAATGACACACAAAAGTCAATACGCACCACAGTCACGTTCATCTGAATTGTCTTCACAATCATCATCATGGTCACAAATCCATCGAGAAGGAATGCAGTGTAAATTATCACAACGGTATTCACTTTCCGTACATTCACGAGGGCCTTCAATTAAAAAGACAAAGTGCAAACAACGTATGAAGTCACTCAACTGTAATTTACCAAGCCTTTCTCATTAACACAGGCAAAATGATAGCTGGATGAGATGTCAGATAATCACTAAATTGGTACGTTGATATTTCCGAATAGAGATTATGTGATATTAAGCACTTCATGCTTTTCTAGAGTACTGTGGGTTAACTCATCTCAAGCTTTAGTTTTATTACAACATTACCCAAGAATGACTTTTATCTTGAGGAAATTACACCTCCTAATCAGAAAATAATAAATTCAGTTTAAGTTTGATCCTGCACTCTTTAATTTGGGAAATATTTTTTTACACATATGCACACAAACACAAATGTACACATACACATGCAGGACTGAGTCCTTAAAACCTTGTGGAAAGCAGGACTAATACTTTCATATACATTATAACATTCTTCTGGATAACTGTATTTACCAACATTTATTTCTGTACAATACAAGGTTATTCTTAACACAATATTCCCAATAGCTCAGCAGTAATATTGCAGACGACACAGTGGCACAACTGTACTCTTGCAATTAAGACCATGCCCCATTTTCAAAAGAAATGGGAGCCTCTATGTGAAAAGCTAGAAATAATAAAATGTCATGAATGACATGCCAACTCACTGCAGTTGTTCTCATCAGACCCATCTCCACAGTCATTATCTCCATCGCATTTCCAGCGCAGCGGGATGCACCGATGATTATCACAGCGGAAATCTCCCAAAGGATTGCAAGTCATCTCCTCTGCAAAGCATACAATTTGTCACCAAGACAATAAACCAGCATACATTAGCATACTCTCTGTCCTGTCCAAATCATATTAAAGAGATGTTAAGAGTAAGATAGGATGCTTTGGATAGGCTAAAGTACCCAGAGGGTTGTCGTAGCTGGAATTATACAAACCATGAACTTAAATCAAGTAATTTAGGGGAAGAGCAGTTAGAAAACATCCCATCAAGTGTGTTATAGGATTGGGAAGAAAATGCTCAGAAAAAGACTGTGTGCTTTAATAGTAATTTTCTGGACATATCTATTTTCTTGAAAGGGAGGATGCCACAAGTATTGCAGAGTCAGAGACTCCTAAAACGGCCACCCCATAACAACTCTACTGTCCCTCAGAAAAGGAAAGTAAAAAACAACCAGCACCAATAGAAACAAATATTAGTTGGAGAAGAAATGATTTGATGTAAGAAAAATGGGCAGGCTCTGTGTATGTGAACATGTATCTGATGATTCTCAAAGTGGCACACAATTTTAATGACAAACAGCTAGAGCTGAAAACCATATGGTACACTGTAGGGCAGTCTGCCATATACTGTTTTTCCTGGGTTATTCTCATCTAGGGCTACATCTAGACTGCAAGTCTCTTTCGAAAGAGGCTTTTTTGAAAGATACTTTCAAAAAAGCCTCTTTCAAAAAAGAGCGTCTAGACTACAACCAGTACTTTCAAAAAAGCAAGCCGCTTTTTCGAAAGAGAGCCCCCGGGCAGTCTGAATGCTCTCTTTCAAAAACGCCCTGTTTGCAGTCAAGAACGCCTTTTTTCGAAAGAGCACTTTTGAAAAAAGGCGTTCTTCCTCCTGAAATTAGGTTTACCGCCGTTGAAAGAAAAGCCGTGTTCTTTCGATTTAATTTCGAAAGAACACGGGTGCAGTCTAGACGCAGGTGAAGTTAGTTATTGTGAACTCCTGGCCTGCAGACTCTTTTTGTAGGATTTTAAAAGGCCTCAAAACAACACTTACAGCATCATAATCCCTCAACACAGGTGATTTTGATACAGTGGATCCCCAGTTGAATGTCAGAAGGAGGTTTGCAAAAGGAAAACTGAATGAAAGCTTTCATATGAAGAAGAGCTCCGTGTAAGATCCAAAGATTATCTCACTCACCAAACACAAGTTGGTCTAATAAAAAAATATTACCTCACTCATTTTGTCTCAAAAACATCCTGATTCCAGCATAGCTACAACAACACAGTTTTCATGTGTGTTCCTACATGTAAAATTTGGGTGCAGGAAAAATTTGGGTCCTCTATTTTATTCAGTGATAAGCACAGAATCAACATCATATATATAGTAGCCCAATGTCTGTGACTCTGTAACACTGAAATGCTGGCTGTTCCCTCTGGGTGGCACTGTTACCTCCATGCTGCAGGAGGTACCTCCATGCTCCAGGCTGTTACCCAAACGGCCGCTTCCACCGCTTGTTCTCCTGTGGCGGCCCGGCTGAGTGGCGCAGAAGTCAGCCAATTGCCACGGCAGGAGGGGAAGGGGTGATGGGGTCTGGCTGTGCCAGGGGGTGGGGTCTGGCTGTGCATGTCACTGCCCTGCCCCCCTTCACAGCGCCCTTCGCCTCCCACTGTGGCGCTCTGCTGACTTCTGCGCCGCTCAGCCGGGCCACCGCAGGGGACACCAAACGGCCGCTCGGCGTAGGAGGATAGAGAGAGGCCGTTTGCACCGCTTGCTCCCACGCGGCGGCATGGCTGAGTGGCGCAGAAGTCAGCTGAGCACCACGGTGGGAGGTGAAGGGGGGCGGGGCAGTGACATACACACCCAGGGGGCAGGGCCTGGATCAAGATGCATCCCCGACGGAGACAGAGGAGAGATGTGGGAGCACACATGTGGAACAAGGGAGTTTTAGACAAGTTTTGCTCTCTATAGGCGTGTCTACACAGCAGCGTTATTTTGGATTAACATCAGTTATTGCTATTCCGAAATAATGCAGTACATGTCTACACAGCAAGCCCATTATTATGAAATAATTTTGAAATAGGCTTCTTACTCCTACTTACTAGTTAAATAATAATAGCACAATAATAATCTTAATCTAGCTTTCCAGGGTGATAGCATTTGAGCTATACAATGATCTACAGTGAACTTATGTTCACAGAATTTTCCTCTATGCAAATGTCTATCACTGAAATGGACTGAAAGACAATGAAAGAAGTAGAAGCATATGAATGATCATTGAAAATAATTCCATGAGGGTTTATAGCTTGGAGGATCATTTTCATCATAATGGCATTTAGGGGAAAAAAGCTTTTTCCCTGAACCTACCACAGCCTTGTTCATCACTGTTGTCTCTGCAGTCATCATACCCATTGCATACTGCCCACAGTGGAATACAGCGGTAATTGGTTCTACAGCTGAACTCTGTGTGGTTATCGCACCGATAGGCAGGACCCACTAAAATACAAGAGAGAGTTGTTAAAGGACATTTTGTATTTCTTATCCTGGAATCTGCTTTTCCTGCTGTGTGCATATGACTTTAACATCTATTGGGTTTTTTTGGTGCATTTGGTGTATTGCTTCCAAAGAAAGGATTAAACAATTGAAAAAAATCAATTGGTCATCTACTTGCTGGTAAACAATGGAGTCTTATTACACCTTTGCCAGCATTTTGTCTATTCTAGTTTTATGCTAAGTGATTGGGTAATGACCACTTTGCTATGTCACTGTCAGGAAGTTTTTCTTGATAATCAGACTAACTTTCCCTTTTCTGAATTTCAGCTCATTTCAGGGTTATACTAGCTCCTTGGCATCCTAAATAATCATCAAGGAAGGAGAGGAATTATTCTTCAAATATTCAAATATTTAACTTTTTTTCACATCCTCTTCCTGTGCTAAGCTGAGCCATTAGGAGTGTGAAGAACGGTAAGAAGGTGTGCCAACCCGGGAAACACAGCAGAACATTACTTGCCTTTCTGCTAGTGGGGCCCTTTATTGTGGCAAGGAAAGGGTCTGTGGGGAGGCAATGGGGAAAGGCTCTGAGGGCGCATCTACACAGCGATAGCCCCAAAATAGCTATTCCGTGTCTTTTAAACAAGCCTGTTATCTAGCAATAGCTTTTGAAATAACAGGCTCACTCATTCCACGAGGATTAAGGGACATTTTGGAATAGCTCTCTATTTTGAAATACACTCCAAATAAGCTATGCAAATAAGCGTAGCTCAAAATGCGTAGCTTATTTCGAGCCACAGGTGCAGTGTAGAGGCACCCTGACAGAGCTTTTCAATGTGGTGGACTCCAGAGCAGGATACTACACTGCTAAAAATAGAAGTGTAGATAGAGACACTCTTTGGGTGTTGGATATACACCTTCTTGTTCTGTTATGTCTGTATTCTGCCTAAGCTATATCTCACCATCTACATAGATATTTATATCCATGCTAGCTGGGTGCTCAGTATCTGTACTCTAGCTGCCATAAGCATTGATGTCATTAAGTATACAGCTCAAAACTGCACTGGCCTTTTCAGCTGTCACATTGCATGCAAACTCCTCGTCAATTTGCTTGTTACCATCACTGGGAGGTCACATTACTGCTTTCCAGCTTTCAGACTGCTGCTCTATCAGATTATTTTATTCCAGTTGTACTAAACTGCACTTCTCCAAGGTAAATTTCAGTTTGTTGTTGTCAATCTCTGTTTCTACTCTTTCTAGGTGGTTTTTTTTATTATTTCTCTGTCATTCCAGATGCCCATAACTCCTCCCTATTTAGTAGCAGAGAGAAGTTGCAGTAACTGTCATTCTTCGAGGTGGTGTCCCCGCCGGTGCTCCACTATGGGGTGCTGGGCTTGTCCCAGCACCGCAGATGGAAGCTTGTGATGAGCAGTGTTCGGCCGGACCATGCATGTGCCGCGGGCTTGCGGCTTTCGCGCTCTTTTCTGTCTCACGCGGTCTGGCCCCGCCGCCAGTTTCTCGAGACCATCTCGGAGTCTGGGAGGGTATGTCTACACTAGCTCGTTAGTTTGAGCTAGGTAGGCAAATGAGGGCAACCGGAGTTGCAAATAAAGCCCGGGCTTCATTTGCATGTTCCCAGGAGCCGCCATTTTTAAATCCCCCTTAGTCCGAACTTCGAACTGCCGGTACTCCTCGTTCCACCTCCTCATTACTCCTCATTCCTAATTCAAACTACCTACTTCGTGCTGCGTGTAGCTGTGGGCACGGAGTTCGGACTAAGGAGGATTTAAAAATGGCGGCCCCTGGGAACATGCAAATGAAGCCCGGGCTTTATTTGCAACTCCGGTTGCCCTCATTTGCCTACCTAGCTCGAACTAACAAGCTAGTGTAGACATACCCTAAGAGACAAGAGCAGAGAGAGAGAGGACTCCGAAGCGGGGAGGAGGGCGGGTAGTGGGGACACCACCTCGAAGAACGACAGTTACTACACCAAAGGTGAGTAACTTCGCTTTCTTCTTTGGGGATGTCCCTGTGGGTGCTGCACTATGGGTGACTGCGTAGCAGTAGTCGCCAGAATGGAAAGAGGGCAAGGAGTCCCTATTTATCTGCTATGGAGAGCACCGCAGACGCCACTGCCCCATCTGAACGAGTGAGTAGAGAAATAGAATAGTGTTTGGCGATGGTCTCATGTGAGGACCAGGTCGCCAGCCTGCAGATGTCCTTCAGAGATACCCCTCTATGAAACGCTGTAGATGTGGCTATGGCTCTAGTGGAGTGGGCGTGTGGTTGGGATGGATGGGGTAAGCCTTTCGCTGCGTATGATTGCGTTATGCATGAGGTTACGAGACTGGAAATCCTCTGGGAAGATAGCCGTTGACCCTTTGACCTCCGTGCCAAGGAGACGAATAAGTGGTCCGTATGCCTGAAAGGTTTAGTGCGATCTATGTAGAATGCTAAGGCCCTGCGGGTGTCCAAGGAGTGCAAGGCTACTTCTTGTGGCGAGGCATGGGGCTTTGGGAAAAAGGTTGGCAGGATCACTGGTTCATTGACATGGAAATGGGAGACAATTCTGGGTATGAATCTTGGGTGTAGTCTCAAGACTACTCCATCTTTATGGAAAATTGTATACGGTGGCGTGGCCATCATGGCGGAAAGCTCGCTCACTCTGCGTGCCGATGTTATGGCAAGCAGGAAAACAGTTTTCAAGGTGAGGAAATGCAAGGATACAGTCTCCAGAGGCTCGAACGGCGGCCTCATCAGGGCGTCGAGGACTACATCCAGGCTCCACACCAGTGGGACTGGGTCGTGGGTGGGGCCATGTTGGTAAGTCCCTTGAGAAATCTTTTAGTAGTAGGATGGGCGAAGACAGAAACACCATCTATCGGTGATGTGAATGCTGATATTGCTGCGAGGTGCACCCTGATGGAGGCTAATGCGAGGCCTTTGTCCTTCAGGTGCAACGCATAGACCAGTACGGAGAGGATTGACGGACGTGTCGGATCATGGTGGTTCGAAGTACACCAGGAGAATCTGCGCCACTTGTGAAGGTAAGTTTTTCTCGTGGTTTGTCGTCTACTATGTACTAGGACATGTTGGACTGGATCGGAGCAGAGGGATTTGAATGAAGTCAGGCAGTTAGGAACTATGCTGTTAGGTTCAGCATTTGTATCTGGGGGTGTTTCAGGCGTCCTCAGTCTTGTGTGAGGAGATTGTGAAGAGGCAGAAGGCGGATCGGTGTCCGCGCGGAGAGACAGTGGAGGAAGGGAAACCAGTACTGGCGAGACCTGTCTGGGGCTATGAGGATTAGCGTTGTCCTGTCTGCCTTCAGCTTCTGGAGGACTTTGGGGATCAGAGGTATGGGGGGAATGCATAGAGAAGGGGTCCGCATCATGTCATAAGAAAGGCGTCCCCCAGGGATGCGTGGCCTAGGCCTGCCCTTGTGCAGTACTTGCAGCATTTTGTATTGGCGGCAGTTAAAAAGAGGCCCCCTCGGGGAGTACCCAACGTTGGAAGATCTCGCATAGGACGCCATCGTGCATTTCCCATTCGTGCTTCACATGGAAGTGTCTGCTTAGGAAATCTGCCATCACGTTTGTGGTGCCAGGTAAGTAGGATGCCGTAGGTGTTATTCCGTGGCAAATGCACCAGTTCCAAAAGCAGATGGCTTCCGTGCACAGGGATCGGGAGCGAGTGCCGCCTTGGCAATTCACGTAATACATGGCTGTGATGTTGTCCGTGAGTATCCTCACCATGGTGTTTCAAATGTAGATGAGGAAGGATTTGCATGCGTTGAAAATGGCGCATAGCTCTAGAAGGTTTATGTGTAGCCGTGCTTCTTGCGGGGACCATTGGCCTTGGACTGAGAGGGAGCCCATGTGAGCCCCCTAGCCTAGTAGGGAGGCATCCGTTGTAAGTTGGTGGAGTGGCTCCTGCCGATGGAAAGGTGGCGGCGTTACCGACCTGTGGAGATCGTATCTGGTGTGTTTGTTTATGAGAGTCAGCCAGTACTGAAGGGCACGTAGATGTAGTCTGGAGTATTTCACCACTTATGTTGTGGCAGCCATATGGCCCATCAGTCTGAGGCATGTGATGAGTGGAACGGTGATGGTGTGAATGAGGTCTTGGATGGCTTGAAACCTCTGTAAGGGTAGGAACGCTCTGCTGGCAAGTGAGTCCAGGCAGGCTCCAATGAACTCGATGTTCAGAGTGGGGCGCAAAACGGACTTTTGCTCGTTGAGGAGGAGTCCAAGTGATTGAAAGACTTGCCTCATGAGGTGAACCATCTGGGAAACCTCGTGTGCAGAAGGACCCTTGAGTAGGCAATCATCCAGGTAAGGGAAGATGAGTACCTCTTGGCACCGGAGGAAGGTCGTGACCATGGATAGAACCTTCGAAAACACCCTGGGGGCTGGCGACAGTCCAAAGGGGAGGACCTTGTATTGGAAGTAGTCCTTTGCCACGACGAAGCATAAGAACCTCCTATGAGCTGGATGGATAGGGACGTAGAAATAGGCATCCTGGAGGTCGAGCAGTCCTGTGGATCTAATGCAGGGATTATGGCAGCTAAAGTCGTCATTTTGAATCGTTGTTTCTTGAGATATTTGTTCAAATGCCAGAGATCTAGGATGGGGCACCAACCTCCGGACCTCTTCTGGGTGAGGAAATAATGTGAGTAAAAGCCCCTGTTCCTGAAATCCTTTGGGACTGGCTATCTGGCACCCACAGAAAGAAGGCGATCGACTTCTAGTCGGAGGAGGGTCTCACGAGAGGGGTCCCTGAAGAGGGACGGAGTGGGAGGGGTAGTTGGTGGAATGGCTATGAAATGGATAGGGTAGCCAGATTGTTCAATCTCGAGGACCCATCTGTCTGTAGTGATTTTTGCCCATTGATGTAGAAAGGGCCTCAACTGGTGGTGAAAAAGCTGAGTCGTACGATTCGTGGTGCTGCCTGTGACTGTCTGCTCGCCCCCGACCAACGCATTAAACTTGTTGCTTGTTGTTGGGAGGCATGTTCATCCTGCTGTTTGGGTTACGGTGTCGCTGAGGACTCTGACGAGAGCGTTGGTTGTCAAAGGGCCTCTGTTGCTAGTGTTGCTGCTGCCACTGATGTCTGATATAGGAGTAGTCATATCTGCGCTGGTATGGTGAGTACCGGCGTCTCTTGAAGGGGGGAGTGTACATCCCCAGAGTTCGCAAGGTTGTTCGGGAGTCTCTAGAAGAGTGTAAGATTGAGTCTGTGGTCTCTGCAAAGAGCTTATCCTTGTCAAAAGGTAAGTCCTCAACTTTGGCCTGTAGTTCCTTTGGAACTCCCGCCGCTTGAAGGAAAGAAGCTCTGGGCATAACGATGGCAGTAGCAGTAGAACGAGCAGCAGTGTCAGCGACGTCCATGGCTATTTGGAGGGACGTTCTCGCTGATGTGTAGCCCTCTAGGATTACTGACCTCAGGATCGATTTCTTAGAATCAGGGAGATGATCCATAAGGGGGGTAAGGCGTGAAAAGGTGTCAAAGGTGTGACTGGAGAGATGCGCCGAGTAATTGGTGATTCTGAGGAGTAGCATTGCTGAAGTGTAGACCTTCCTGCACAGGAGGTCAAGTCTCTTTATGTCCTTATTGGAGCCCTGTTGTTTGAGGTGTGGGGCTCTAGACCTCTGTTGAGCTGCGTCGACGACTAAGGAGTTGGCCTGTGGATGGGCAAAGAGGAATTCCATGCCCTTCGGTGGTACGAAATATTTCCTGTCGGAGCATGCCACACTTCATCAGCCAGTTCCAGGATGCCTTCATCAAGAGGAATGGCCAGGCGTGACCTATGCTGCAGTTGGAGATTCCTGAAAAACTTGTGTTGCTTGTCTTTGAGTTCCTGCAGCGGGATCTCTTGTGTGATAGCTACTCACTTAAACAACTCTTGGAACTGATGGAGGTCATCTGGTGGAGAGCTGTCGCCCAGCGTGACTGACTCATTTGGCGGGGACGAGTCTGGGATGGAAGTCCCCGAAGGTTGGTCCGCGAAGGGGGTATGTTCCGGCTCTGATGGATGGTGAGATGGTGATGGTGAATGGTGCGGAGGAGTAAGAGGAGCCGGAGTTGGAGAGTGCCTGTGTGAAGCATAGTTAAAGGCGGATCATGATCGGCAAGAATACCCACTGTGCGAGTCTCAGGAGTAGTGGTCGCTGCGGTGGTGTGTGCCACATCACGGTGAATGGTTGTCATGGTAGTTAGAGCAGCTGTAATATTGATAATGGTACGGGGAGCAGGGCGAACAGGAGCGGATGACTGATGCCCTGGAGGAACCAGGAGAAGCAGAGAGCTGCCTGTAGTAGTGCCTGCGATGAGAAGATGCAGCAGCTAGAAACGAAGAAGGCGGTCTGGAGGAGGCATGGGGAGACCCATGCCAGTGAGTGGACTGGCGTGGAGATCGCAGCACTGGCAGAGAGGACAGTGCATGGGGAGACCATACCAGTGAGTTGACCAGCGTGAAGATCGCAGCGCAGGCAGAGGAGAGGACGGTGCCGGGGAGAGGAGGCAGGAGCGAAAGCAGCTGCGGCACGGAGATAGGAGAGGAGCAGGGCTCTGCGGTGGTTGTCTGGCGGCATGCGCTGAAGCGCTAGCCACTGGATTGCTCTGCTCCAGCGGTTCAAGGGCAGGAGCAATCGGCGCTGCGCCGGTAGCGGAGTGGGTCAGCGCCGTGTAGTCTGGCACCGCGCGGTGACTCAGAGGCGGTGCCAGCGCCAGTGCCGTGATGGTCGGATCCGAGGCTGCTCTCTGAGCTGGCTCAGCGCTCTGCGCCGGAGTGAAGGGAAGCAGCTGAGCTGGTGCTGTCTGGGGAACTGGCATTTGGGAAGCCTCCTGTGGCCGCTTAGGCTTCGGAGCCGCTGAGGCAGGGGGACGTGGCTTTACATTGCCAGACGTCACAAGTGTGTCTGCCCGGTTTCCCCTGCCATTAAAGGCAGCTGGCAGGGATCTCGCTGGGGACAGCCTTGCCTTCTTTTGCAGTCCCATAGTGGGGGAGGAAGCCCAGCGTTTGTGTAGCTGCTGATCAGAGTCAGCTTGCTGTGGCTGCAGAGCTTTGTCAAAGAGGAGCATGCGGAGGCACCTATCTTTTCTAGCCCTGGAGGTGAGTTTTGTACAATGGGTACACTTCTAGGAGACGTGAGATTCCCCCAGGCAACGGATGCATTCCGAATGGCCGTCGGAGGCTGGCATTGCCTCACGGCAGGAGCCGCATTTTTTAAAGCCGGTCGCAGACATTTTGCTGGAAGCCTGAGGCAGGGTTGTTGTTTTTAAATCACAGAGAGACAGCTAGTTGTTTAAATGCTGGAAACTTAGTGGTAATATCTCTGTTGTTGTCCTTGTCTCTTTTCTGTTTTTTTTTTTAAAAGGTGAACGCAACTATGTACAATGAAGTTGACAGAAGAACAGCTGAGAGGTGGGAGGTAAGAGCGGTATGCGGTTTCTGTTCTTACTCCCAGTAGTTCTGTCTTTCTCTTTTTTTTTTTTTTTAAATAAGGAGAAAAAACGAGGGAAAGGAGGAAATAGGAATGTACGTACAAGGGGGAACTAGAAGGAGTCTAGTTCAGTGAGTGAGGTAAGGAGCGCAGTTCCAAGCGTCTGCCACCTGAGGCGGTGAAGAGAAACTGGCGGAGGGCCGGACTGTGCGAGACAGGAAAGAGCGCAAAAGCCACAAGCCCGCGGCACATGCGCGGTCCGGCCGAACACTGCTCATCACAAGCTTCCGTTTGCGGCGCCAGGGCAAGCTCAGCACCCGCGGGAACATCCCCAAAGAAGAATTGTAGATTTCATTAATATATTGTCTATTTACTTCCCCAATCATTAATTAATATTAATGCAAACCAGGCCTAGCACAGATCTTTGTAGCACCTCACGCAACAGCTCCCCTGCAACTTGATACTTCGTGGTTTATCATAACCCTTTATTTGCAAACTTTCAAGCAGGTTTTTTTACCCACATGACTATTCGTGTGCAAGTCATAATTTGTCATATTATGTCTATCACTTTCCCTTCTTCTGCTACTTTTACCACTTGAAAAAGGGATAATTGAAATCTCCTGGCTAGATCTCCTCTTTTGAAGCCCATGCTGCTTAGGTTCTGAGTGCTTTGCAGACCCATGCTTGATTCAAAAACCTTGTAAATGTTTAGTGCCTTTGTGCCCCTGTATTATTTGTTGCTTGGGACTACATGAGATGCCTATCAAGTCACAAAGTGCTGTGCTGCAGTGCTAGTTACCTACCACAGTTTAGCAGTCAGTTTCTAGGAGTCCTACCTCCTCAAAAAGCAAACCTCTTAACAATTAAGCACTGCTGCTCACTGTGCCTATCATGCTGTAATGCAGACTGCTGCCATTGGTGTAGTGCTTACTGCATTCGTGGAATGGCTCATCAGAATGATCACCACAGTCATCATCCACATCACATTTCCAGGACTGAGGGATGCAGCGGCCATTGTCACATTTAAACTGGCCTGGAGAGCAGGTCCTACTGGCACAATGAGAACTATCTTCATCTGAGTTATCCCCACAGTCATCTTCTTTATCGCACTGCCAGGCTTCTGGGATACACCGTTTGTTGGCACACTGCCACTGATGTGTCTCACACTGGTGATTAGCTGGAAGAATACAGGTTTTTATTAGTCTGGTGAAGCTTACAGGAAAGATCTAGCCCATCAACATTATGGGAATTGATTAAGTATGATGTCATCATTGCATATTAAAGAAATGATGATAACTTAACTTGAGCTTAGAATGTACTTGTCCAGTTCAGATACCGATTTCTAATATTGCATGGCTATGGCCCACAGCCTGCTTTCATCTGGCTCTCAGAGGCTGCATAATACTAGAGAGAGACTATGTGCAGAAGACAAACATCTAGTGTTGTCACTGCCTGGTGCAGAGTGAAGTAAAAGCTCAGCAGCTCTTACACTGAGCTTGGGCAAAGAACACAGTGGTTGACAACATGGCTTATGGGCCACCATGAAATTCTGACAGTGTGGAACCAAAGAGGAATCATTTTAGTTCTACATAGTCCCTGATAAACCAGCACGCTGCATGTCAGGACACTTGGCACAAGTTAATGCTGCTCAGAGCACTATTAACTTTAGATCCACAGTTTCTATCTTCCTTAGAGGGGAAGTCATGCATAGTCACAGAGTAGACGCCAATATTAGCAGTGGTAGAGGTCTAATGAGGCTTGTGATGTTTGCAGAGTGTGAGTCATACTCAGTCCTAGCCTATGAATTGGAGTGCTCACTTAGTCTTCCCATAGATTTCCAATCTACATGATTTGGCTACTTCTCCCACTGCCCTTTTTGCATACACACTTATCTCTTTCTGCATGAAGAGAGAATACAGTATGATTTCTGCAAACTTCAACACACAGCTTTTCTAGATCAAGTTTTCTCCCTTATACAAAATAAAGATGTGAACTCATTATTATGCAGCTGTTAATTTCTTACTTATTTACTATTCCCATGTGCCTTATTTAAGAGCTTGACTATTTGAAATTCATGTAAAATTGAAGTTTCATTTAATTATGGTGACATTATAGAAAACACTATAATATGCTAATGGAAGTCAATGAAAATATCAATTATATGACTACACAGCTTCCTTTTTCATTCTCACTGCTCAGACTGCAATTCCCAGTGCAATATTATTTACAAGAGGAGAATAATTAGCTTGCTAATTAGACACAAGGACATGAAATAAGATGTATTTTAAAAATGTTAATACACTGTCTCACAATTATACTTAGATGCCTACAATTTAAAAAAAATTTCCATCACATTCAGTTCTCCAAAACCATCTGGCTGGGTGTATTGCATTTTGAGCAATTTTCATGTGAAATAATTTTTTCATTGTTTTAAAGATGCAGATTATGGTAAAAGTCAGCATGGTCTGAGGGTCATACTGCTTCCCCCGGCTCCTCTTGGCTGCAAATAGCAAACTGTTTCCAATGGGTGCTGTGTGGCTGTGGAGTCGGTAAGTAAACAAACTAGAGTGGCCCGGGAGCACTTTTTCAGAGTGGGTCCATGGACCACTTTAAGAAACACTGGTTTAAGGTGTAACTGCTCCCACATAGCTGCTGCAAGCACAAACTAAGGATGTTAACTAACAACTAATTTGACTAGTCAAGTAGTCGATGGAATTTCCACTGATTATGCGACTTGTTGATAGGCACTTCCGCATTCCTCCTTTGAAATGCACAACAGCCCCAGTGGGGCTCTTGTACATTTCAAAGGAGGAATGCGGAACACCATGTGCAGCCCAGCACCAGTGGGAAGTTCCACTGACTCTGGGCTCTATGAGGATGCTTAACCTTTGAAATGCACAAGAGTCCCTTGCCCCAGCCTTCATGTGGTGTGCCAGCTTTGAAATGTACAGAGTCCCCAGCAGGGGCTCTTGTGCATTTCAAAGTGGAAGTTCTGTCTTGCTGTCTTGGGGTCCATGCTGTGCTGCCGCATTGAAATGCCATGCTGGAATCCCCAGCTGATCCTGGATTCTGTGGAAATGCCATGCCAAGCCCAGGGTCTGCGGGGGACTGATCCTGGGCTCTGCACGGCATTTCCGCATTGGCTTACTGGATAGTCAACTAGTCTACTAGTCTTTAACATCCTTAGCACAAACTAAAAGGTAGTTTGTGTTAGCATAGTCCTGTTTGAAATGAGATAATGTTAACACAAACTAGGTCTCTTTTAGTTTACAGTGCACGCTGAAACTCACACCTGTCTGCACTGCGGGAACACGCAGACAAGCTCAACCTCATGGTGTTGCTTTCAGCAAAACACAATGGGACCTATTTTCCACTGCCTTCTAACGTACACCAGTGCAAGTGAATCAAAGTGAGTGCAAAACTTTGCCATTCTGATCTGGTAGCATTTAACATCTTTTTAACAATCACTTTGCACTGGGGTAAATTACTATGTAAGGTGCAAGGCAGCAGAAAATGAAGTGTAATATCTATAAAATAGGGATCATGATTCTCACCTACCTCTCAGTATGGCTTGTGAGTATTAAGTGTTAGTGCTTATACTATGTTTTGAATATGTCAAGTGCTACATGTACTCTAAGAACAATTAATTGTCATTTACCACAAAGTACTTGATCTTCATCTGATCTGTCTGGACAATCTGGCAGAGCATTACACAAAAAATGGGAACTAGTGCAGTTCCCATCACTGCACTGGAACTGTCCAACACGACAATATCGGTGTGGGCAAGTCGGTGGTTCATCAGAGCCATCCCTGCAATCTCTTTGTCCATCACATTTCCACCAAATAGGTATGCACCTAAAAAGAGAAACGAATATTTCCATTGATGAAGTAATGATTTTACAGGTGTCCAGCCATCCCTTTAAGGACCAACTATTAGGTAAGATGTTGCCAGTAACAAATCTTGCAACATCTGGCTTCAGCTATTTCTTGAGCCTCAGTTTGATATGACAGGAGGGCAACCGTCATGCAATAACAAAATATATTATAACATGTATTGGCTACTATCAGAGGTTCCTGGTGAAATCTCTGTAACATGTTCACAAAAGATTAATGGGGACTCAAGTTTGCAGTATGTGTGCGCAAACTATCATTCTGGTCCCCTTGGCAGGGTGGGGAAGGGGCCCTGCTCCGTGCCCCCAGAAGGGGAAGGGCCTCAGGCAGAAGAGGTGGAGCTGGGGATAGGCAGCCCTCAGTGTCACCCAGAGAGTGCCATGCTTCCTCCAGGCAACCCTCAGTGCTGCCTGTAGCGTGCCGTGTAGGGGCTCCGGCAGCGATTTAAAAGCCCCAGAGCTCCCAGTCACCACTACTACTTTACAGAGACTCGTCATTTTAGACAGCTATGTAGGCAAGCCAAATGTTAGCTAAATAGGCTGAAAGAGACAGAACAAGATACATTTCCATAAGTGATCTGCAATTTAGATAGAGAATTCTAGCAAGTGTATAATTTTAACATTGACCTATCCATATGAGCAATGGATGCTCCTGTGTGAGGTGGCACTACAGCTGGTAGAATGGGCCATTGGAGAAACCTAGCTGCCTACAGGAGTCCTTGGGTGGTGTACACCCAGGATAGTACGTCACCTGATCCCCAAATCTGACCCCTGAATCTGGGCCCTGCCATATGGAGAATTACTACATACTTTCAAGCCATTCAAGTAAATTATCCTTAAATATAAATTTTATCCTTAAAGAGATATTAAAATAAGATACTGAGCAAAGGATTTACCTTTCACTGTCTGCACAGAGGAATTGGGTGCTTGAGCACATTGGAAGGCAGTGTGCAGTGTTGCCAAGTTGTATTATCATGAAGTTATCTGGACATTCACAAGAATAACCCTGGCCGCCAACTTTTATTAAACACAGATGGGAACAGCCACCATTGTTGGTACCACAAGGATTATTCACTAGTAAAATAGAAGAATAATCATCATACTTCACCCCCCCCATAAAGAGAAAGACCTTGCAATAATCTCCATTGATATTGCGTAGAAGGCTTTGCTATTCTCTCTCGCCAATCAAAACACACACACACAAATCAGGCATTCAGACAGAAAAATGTAAAGCCTCAATTGTAATTTATTGAAAATGTATGAACAGAGAACCCTGAAGCCCTAGGAACTAGCTTTAAATCCCATACTTCAGGTCTAATTATGCTCTCACTATCTTACTTTATCAGATAGCCAATTAAAGACTACCTTTGTAGGTTAACTAAGGGTCTGATTTTGTAAGGAATTGTGTGTGCCTCCTGTGAGTTACCAAGAGTTTTCAACTCCTTGTAATGCCAATGGGAGACATGCACATAGCATGTACCAGCTTAGGCCCTAATGAGAGCCAGACATCCACACTATATTTTAAATCTGTTTCCTCACCAATTGGCTGTCTGTATGGATGGTACACGTGGATATCAAATGGCCGGTGTGTGGTGTTCACCAGAACAGTCCTTCCTGATCCATCATATTTATTTCCCTTCTCAACAGTCCTTGTGTTCCAATCAGTCCAATAAATGGTGTCTTCAAAAATTGTAATTGCAAATGGATGCGGTAAAGTCCCATCATATACCGTGTGACGATGTCGTCCCTCTAGATCAGAGTACCTGCATGAACAAAAACATGCATAACACTCAGAGCAAAGCTGCAAGAGCTTCCAGTCTTTAATATAACATCTCATAGCCAATCAGCAGTGGTGATCAGTGGATTCAAAATTGTTTACTTCATTTTGAGATACAAAGGTTTAAATAGGTTATACTTTAGTTATAAAAACAGACTAAACACACACAAATGGAAATACAAAGCCCTTCTTAAGAAATTTCATGTGCAGCTATCCATGAAATTTCGTGCAGAGATAGTAGGTTACATGTTGCCATGAAGGACAATGGCTATATAATTCATATCACAGTTGGCAAAATCTAACACCTTTACTCCTAAATATCAAACTAGGACTGCTATATGTTTACCTTTAACAACATTTTAAATAAAAAATCTTCTGCAACTCTTGCCCTTTTTTTTACTGTACAGGCAGTCCCCGGGTTACATGGATCCAACTTACATCGGATCCCTACTTACAAACGGGGTGAGGCAACCCCGCACTAGCTGCTTCCCTCCAGCAGACCAGGGAGATGCGAAGCTAGCGCCCCCCCAGAAGACTAGGGAGACGCGGAGCGACTTTTCTCAGCAGACACCTCAGCTTGAGAATAAAGGATTGAGGGAAGTGAGGTGTGGGAGAATAAAACTGAGCTCTGGAGAAATGTTTGGCTAGAGTTTCCCCTACAATATGTACCAGTTCCGACTTACATACAAATTCAACTTAAGAACAAACCTACAGTCCCTATCTCGTACGTAACCCTGTATTATTAACAAAGAAAGCTAAGTTAGGAACTCTGAACAGCAACTTTATGATTAATGTAATCATTTAAGAAACTTGGCAAAAACTAATCCAATCCAGGATCTTCCAAGTCTACATTTTTGACAGAAATACTAAAAGTTAAAATTTTAACAAAACTGTTCACTTTCATATTTCTCTAAAAACACAGTTTCTTTGTGACTTCTCTGTGCCTGTTATAGCCTGTCATAAGATGGGATTTTCAGGTCTCTCCTTCATGTCAGTCTTCTCTCCTGGGCCTCTGGTCTCTCGCTCCGTGTCTCTTTCTCTCTCTCCCCTCCTCCTCCTACTGCCTCCCCCTCTCTCTCTCAGCTCTCCTCTGCCTCTCTCTCCATCTCTCTCTCTTTCTCTTCTCCCCCTCCTGCCTCTCACTCCATGCTGCATGGGGAGTGCAAACCCCAAATGGCTGCTTGCGCCACTTGCTCCCGCGCTGCAGCTCAGCTGAGCAGAGCAGAAGTCAGCCGAACACCACGGCAGGAGGCAACAGTGCCACCCAGAGGGAACAGCCAGCGTTTCAGCATTACAGAGTCACAGACATTGGGCTACTATATATATATGATATCTTTAAATGGGTTATCTCTTTTTGTTCTCCTCAGGCGTTAGCAGAAAATTATGAGAATACTATTTTTTCTAAAAATGGTTCATTTTAACATTGAAACTTGGAAAGGAACTAAAAGAATGAGCACAAAGGAGATTTTTCAGATGTGTTGATTTAGAAATATCAGGATAAAAATCAGAATCAGAAAGTTAGCTAATTATTTGTGCTGATATTGAAGTCTAAGCATTTCATCATCAGAAATCTGACATTTCATAGACTTATATCAAATGCCAATAAATTAATGTAACAAAGCCATAATTCTCCATGCAGTATTGTCATGAACTGTCATAAGGGGAACATTAAGGTCAAATTTTTAACAGAAATCTACAAATGTATGCACATACATTTCTTTATCACTTTACTCAGATCTGTGTGCAAAAAAAATGGTAATTACAAATTCAAATGATAAGTCAGTTCTGCCTCAGTTTGGATTTTCCATCTACATAAAGATACATGGCAAATTCTAGCCCAGATTGTGAGCCTCTTTACTCACATTTCTGAACAGTTACTTTCATATGTAGTTTCTAAGATTCTAGTGAAATTAATGTAACTACTCATTAGTGTGAATAAAAGGTTTATAGCTTAAGTCCCTGCTGCAAAGTTCTAAAGACCCACTGAAAATCTGTCCTTATTATAGATACATGCTGTAAAACTTCAGAACAGAAATGCCAACTGCAGCTAAAAAACAAATGAAAAAATCCAAAAGTTAATTTTATCTTAATGAGGGGGGAAGCCTATCCCTTTACGTCCCCTTTACGCCCAACTTCTGATTCCATTTTCAATTTTGAATTAACCCATTCAATCCTGATGGATTATTTGGATGTGTCATTTTTCTAAATGCACTGTGACAGGACATAAAATATCTCTGTGAGTTTCATTAAAAAAAAAAAACCTATTAGCAGAAAAGGAGTTATAAAATTCTTAACATAAAATGCTACCACTGAAATTTCGTATGAAGAAGTTACCCAGTTGCTTTATTCTTCCCTATGTACGTACTCAATGTAGTTTAGATGAGCATCTGCCCAGTAGAGCTTGTCGTTGGTGTAATCTATGGTGAGTCCATTGGGCCACTCTAATTTGGTAGAGACAATCACTGTCTTGTTCTTGCCATCCATGCCCACTCTTCCAATATAGGCTCGGTCTGCCCAGTCAGTCCAGTAAACCTGTCTATTTAAACAGCAGCCTAGTTAGTTTTGTAGGAAAAGATCCTAGGATAAATTCTAGAAGCTATACTTGTAATGTAACACGTCATTCACAACAACAAAATGAGGAGACTGAAAAAGAAAATAAAGGTTTATATTCAATAATATACTTGATCAGCCACTTTGTATTTTAGTTTGATACATCTCCATAGTAAACAAGCAGCTATATGTGATCAAAAAACATCTTTACAGGATGCAACTGGCATGAACTGAGTGAATGAACACTTGTCTATCAGCCAATGTAAATTTCAATTACAATTTCTGCTTCTCTATTGATAAAAATTTTGTCCCACCCTAACAGCCAATTTTACTTGGCATAACTGGGAGTTGCACACATCTAGTTGAGGACATGGTGATGTCTTTCATAAATTATAGCTCTCTTGGGAGCTTAATTTTACTTTGAAAATGCTGGTCATGGCTAATTGACAAGTTCATAAATACCGCCATATGAGCCAACTAACTTATGCTATACACTCATTAAATTCTTTGGAAGGATAAAAATGCAGCCATGATCTGGAAGCCAATGGCAAGATAGCAGCTAAGGAAAGCAGGCTGCAAATGTCTACGGTATAGCTTAGAAGCCATGCAAATCCATGTGCAGGTAGCTAAGAGATGTTCAATTTGGGACGGGGGGAGGGAGAATCACAGATCTCAGCCTTTCAAGAGAACTGAAGGCCAGTTTCCTGACAACTTTATATTATATGTTGCCTTCATTCCTGCCTCCTAGCCAATCTCAAGGCAGGAGAGCTTTTGAGGCCAGTCCTCATGCCCTGCTTTTGGAGCATATTTTTGGAACAGGAAGATGTGATCCAAATATTCCCTAATTATTCTTAGTAACATATACAAAATAATAACTTAGCAAGGACTTTCACACAAGCAGCATGAGACTGTAAAACTACCAAGTGAAAAACTCTGGAAGTGTCATACCCATATTTTGGATGGACGACAATAGCTCTGGGATACTGAAAGCAGAAAGTGTTGTTGGAGTCCACGCACCGATCCACCAATTTTTTCCGGAATCTGCCATCAAGCTCGGCGACATAGAGACAGTCTTTGTATGCATCCACCCAGTACAATTTTCTGAAATGTTTAATAATCAATAATTTACATGCTGCTTTATAAAAAAATAAAGTGCCTCGCTTTAATTTCACAGTATTTTTCTCTCTAGAGTAAAGATAAATCCACTATAATGAATTAACCAATCCACATGATTCTTCCATGAAAATCACCATCTTCTCATCCCTTCCCTGAGTTTGATCCCTGCTCTCACCAAGCCAAAGGAGTGGGGGGAAGAGAGCAAGTGCACGCATAGTCACTTAGGGAAATAGGGTGACACGCTGGGTAAAACTCTATTATAAGAATAATTCATTACAGCACACCCAGAAAAATCTGTTTTACAAATGGCACTGTCAATTAAATTTCCTTAGTTTTTCAGGTTTTATTCCTTGTGTTTGCTTTCTTGGTTAATATATCCCTTCCAGTTAGGATGTTTCCTGTCACATCAGCTAGGTGGATCTTCTATTAATTATTCTTATTACTATTATTAAACTTGTCCCATTAACATAAATGTTTAAAAGTCTTTGTATTAGTATGACACTCTTCCTGCACATTCTGACTATCAGAACACAAGGCTGAATCATGTTTTGTTGCTAGTCGGATTAAGCATAAGAGCTGAGTAATATTATGAATATTTACATTATTAGGATACTGTTATACTGAGTGCCAACTGTGCATGTCTGGTATGTGGATTGAAAACCAGTCCCCAACAAGTATATGAACTTGTATTTTCACATTGCAAAACATAATTAATAGCTCAGAAAGGCTGAAAATATTTCCTTACCTGCCAACCCAGTCCACAGCAATACCTTCCCCATTTGGCACATCGTCACTTATTATAGTCTCCTTGTTTGTCCCATTTAGGAACATTCTTTCAATGACCTTCCTCCCCACATCAATCCAATACAACCTCTTTTCCACCCTGTCAAAGTCCAGAGCCACCACATTTCTTAGTCCTTGCAAAATGAGAGAGTAAGATTGGCCATCTGCTGTGAGATTTCTCAGATAGTAACGGTTGCTAAAAATAAGGTAGGGGGAGATATTACTATTTTGCCGGCAACTTTTTCCATCAGGCTCACGGATGTAGCCTGGGGCGCACTTACAGATGTAGGAGCCAGCAGTGTTCTCACAAATCTGACTACATACTGATGGCGTTTCATTGCATTCATCAATATCATCACATGTCTGTTTATCAGACATGAGTCTGTGTCCAGTACGACAAAAACAGTAGAAACTAGTCAGAGTGTCTGTGCAATTATGATCACATCCACTGATTGAAGGGTCATTACATTCATTAATGCCTGTGGTACAAAAACAAAACCATTAGTATTGAAGCAAGGGAGTTACTCAGAAAATAATGAACCTATCCAAAGTATTCATAAAAGTCAACATCAAGACAAGTGGCAACAACTTTTGTTCCAAAAATACCAAAATATTCTGGGTGTCGTCAACTGAGTTGTTGGAGTCAGATTCTCACCCAGTATAAATGATCATAATTGCAGTGAAATAATTGGGGCTACAATAATTTACACCAGTGGCAGATCTGCCCCCAAATTCTGAGTGCAGAACAGTATTATTTCTCAGAAAGAATATATGTAGTTTTAACTATTTATCTGGCATAGTTTCATATTTAAACCTATGGTGATGTATTCATTTTATTTACTGGCTAGCTTTGATAGATTAAGCACGTGAATTGACATGTTACACTGTGTTAGGATTTAATAATTAATGTGTAATATTGTATGTGTGCATTCTTCATATATCCTATTGGCAAGTCCTGATGGAACATGTATCATCTTGATTAATCTGCTGACTTAATTAAGCATTCATTTTTTAAATTGTCTGCAACATTTTAAATGTCTACAACATTAGGTATCAGAACCCTAATCCCCGACACCCAACACTCCATACATACCACATCCTTTTTCATCACTGTTATCAACACAGTCATCCAGCCGATTGCAGATTTTAACCATTTCAATGCAGTTCCCATTGTCGCATTTAAAATGATGGGGAGAGCACGTTGCTTCTGGTGTACTACAGAGGTGCTCCAGCTCATCTGATTCATCCCCGCAGTCATTATCTCCATCACAGATATATGCCTTTGAAATGCAGCGCCCATTCTGACACGTGAACTGGTGCTGTTGGCAGGGCTGATAGATGCACCCCCTCTCATCGCTGCTGTCACCACAGTCATTTCTCCTATCACACCTGAAAAGAACATTGGCTTTGTTAAAGGTAGTGACTGTTGGATGGATGGATGGATGGATGGATGGATGGATGGATGGATGGATGGATGGATGGATGGATACAAAAACCTGCGGTGCACAAAAGATCCAGTGGAGGAATACTTCTGAAAAATCGATCCATATTATATAAGGGCCGAGCTTACAAATTTTTACTCCCAACAGTATCCTTTCACTCACACAAACAGTTATAGTGAAAGCAAAAGGTACTCCTGAAAATACTCCCATTAAAAGTTACTGTGCCCAGGAATAAGGGCGAAATGCCATTGGTGGTTTCTGATAATGTATCAAGCATCCCAGAGGCTTTAAAGATAAAACTTACATGTGAATGAATTGCACATGAATTATACCACTCTTAAATAAAATCCTGTTCAATGATGAAGTATTATAAAAACTGAAATAAATTCATTTCTTCATTTGAAAAGATTTGCAAGGCTTTTATATTGTTGCTGAAGCATGAACAGACCTATAAGAGTTTCGGATGCACAGTCCATTGTTACACGTGAATTCATTTTCAGAGCAGGACCGCCGGGTGCAGTTTTGATGTTCATCGTAAGCATCTCCACAGTCAGCATCACCATCGCAGACCCACACCAGAGGGATACACCTCCTAAGGGGGGGTCTGTTGTTCACACATGTAAACTCAGTGGCTGTGCAGCTGCGGTTTGCTACAATAAAACACATTTGCTAAGTGACTGAAGTATAGTTATTTTCATTTTACATGTGTAAATTGTGTATTCCCCATTCACATCTAGGCACGTATGCCAGAAATTTCATGCAGAAATTCATTCAAATGCCTCTTATCCATTGCAAACAACCAAAGTCATCCCAAGTATATCACCACTGAATGCAGCACAGTTTGAAAGGTAGTGTGGTGTCACAATGACCCAGGGAGAAGCAGCATTTCAGAGCTCCCAGACATGCAAGGGAACCATCCCTGCACTTACAATCCCTTCAGGGGAAGCAGAATACTTTCCCTTCCCCTGCTCCCTCCTTTGAGATGCTTGTTCCCCAGTAGGCAAACCAAGGGAGCCGGTAACTGCTGCTATAGGGCATAATGAAGAGGGCCAAGCTTCCTGCATCTCTCCTCTTTGTGCATCCACTAAACATCTAGGTATAAGCTGACCTTCTGATCTCCAGCTAATCAGACTTCTACAGGAAGCTTGTTAAACAAGTCATATTAATTTCATCTCCATCAAAGCAGTTTATAATTTAAGGCTACTGAATGGAATGGGACAAAATTGGAAGGGATTTTTTTAAATTAAAATTTACAAGATGAATTCTAAAAATGTAGTCTAACATACAAAATTATACGAAATTGCTTGATAGAAAAAATATGGCATGTCGACCTTTCTGTAAATCTATCCTGCTCTGGAAGGCCATGAGCAGCCCTAAGCACAAGACTTTATTTGTATTGGACACCTACCACAGTTATGTCTTTGATCTTCATCACTCATATCCCCGCAGTCATTATCACCATCACAGATCCAGCTTGCTGGGATGCATCGGCCATCATCACACCTGAACTGGTCACTTGAACAAGTACGCACATGGGACACTTGAAAAATGAATAGAATCACTTTGCTTGTTAAACTAGTCTGCACCATTGTAATAGCCTACTGATGGAAGCATTCTATGGGACAGGTTTATTCCAGTGATATGCAAGCAGAAAGTCCAAATATTAGAACCTAAGTCAAATCACAACTGCTGAGATAAGGTAAACACTACTTCTCCATGTCCTCATTTTCCCTTTATTAGTCAATTACACTAACCACCCCTACAAATGCATTTCTGCTTTGATTATTAGTGTGCCAATCTTGTTACATGTCAAGTAAGTTGTTAAGGAGATCTGGATTAGGGAAGTTGGTAAATCTGAACCGGGCATGACATCTAAAAAGAATTTGACAGTCCTGACAGTGAGGCTATGTCTACATTACAGAGGGTTTTTTGGAAAAATTGCCATTTTTTCAAAAAAAAAACCTCACGGAGCATTCACACCTCAAGCACGTTTTTGCACACAAAAAAGTCAAAAGAACAGAGGGCATAGGTATTTTCTGGCATACGTATTCCTCATTCTACGAGGAAGAATGCCTTTTTGCGAAAGAGCTCTTTCGCAAAAAGGCATGTGTGGACGGGGAAGAGGGGTTTTTTGCACAAAAATAGGAAATAGGAAAAAGCACGGGTGCCCTGGTGGCCGTTCTGTGCATAGCAATTAGAGCTTACTTTTGAGAGAGCGTCCCTGCAGTCTGAGCGCTCTCTTTTGCAAAAGCACATTGCTTTTTCAATGCACTTTTGCAGTGTGGGCGCACTGTTGCACAAGAAGTTTTTGTGAAAGATCTCTTCCAATAAAAGCTACTTGCAAAAGAAGCCTGCAGTCTAGATGTAGCCTGACAGTCCTCATTTTACTATGTATATTTATAATTGCTTGTTTGAAATCAAGGGCTGAGGTTTCTGGAGAAATCCAGAGAACTTTTAGACAGGCCTGAATATGGCTGAAGGTGTGTCAGCTTGAATTCATAAGAAAGCAGGCATGTCTCTTAGACCTGTAGAAAAGCAGGCAAGAGTCACAATCATTTCTAAGTTTGAAATCAAAAGGTGTAATTTTTATTTTAATAAAGACATTGCTTGTAGTAAACCAACACTGTATTACCAACTATCACTTGTTATTCTCATACCTCAGAAAATGTGGAGACTGAGAAATCAGTCCATTTTCAATCACTGGAAAATCCTATTCTCCCACTAAAGTACTAGTTTTTTCCACTGATATCTGTCACATAGTACTCTACCCATTTCCCAATGATTTTGGTCTTCCTCCTATGTAGGGAATACCTGGCTTCTTCCCCTCCTCCTTCTCCCTCCCTTGCTCATTTTTTTGTTTCACGGCAGTCAGTACCTGACTTCTCCACGAATTATGGGATACTCCAAATCCTAAAATGCACCAGACTCACACTATCTGATGTTTTAAAGGAGAAAAGCATGGCTTTCATTTATCTCTAATCAATCATGATAGCCAAGAGGGTTTGCACTGCACACAGAGCTTTTGAGATACAGACACTAAGACATAAATGGAAACTACAAACTCCATTATCACACAGGCCATTGAATAGAACTCAAACAGTTTCTCCAGTTACTAGAGTGGATCTGCTGATCTAGAGGAGAAATTATTTATTTCCCATAACCGATTTCCTAACCCACCCTATTCTCCAGAACAGTCCTCTTTTAACTGCACACTCACCACAAGAGGCAGGTTCATCAGAGCCATCAGCACAGTCTCC